TGTTAAAAAGGTTTGTGAGTAATCTCTGGGCTGTCGAGCTGTTTTCTCCAGAAGAACCTTTTAAGCTGTCAGTCATCTCTAACACCCTCCCCGGGTGTCATGCCCCTGGCTGGTGCTGGGCTCCTCCCAGATTTCCTTTTTCTCCCCATCTTCCCCTCCTCCTCTCTTGTTCATGCAACAGGCCCCAGTGCCATAGTGGATGACTTTTTTCCTTTTTTAAGCAATTCAGACAGAGCTGCACAGATGGAGAGAGGGGGATATCAGAATGATTTTTTTGGGTATATTTCAAACATGAGAATCATCTTATTCAAATCATGGTTGTTTATTGATTAATTGAGCAACTATATGTGCCAAACACTTTGTTAGGTGCCAGGTACAGAAATGAACAGACAGTTAAGGCTGTTGCCTTAGTGTATGTTATAGCAAAACCAAAACATTCTCACAAAACACTGAATAAAAAGTCACTGTTCATCATTGGTATTTTCTAGAATTAGGAAGCAGGTTCCAGACTCTGGGGCCGTGAGGGGTGTCCTTTTATCCCTGCATTTCACAGGCTCTACTTCCTGATATGTTTATGGATTTTCCTTGAGAAAGGGGGTTTTATAATCCAGGAAGTATATAAAATGATGGAATAAACCAAGTTAATGCTCCTTTTCTTTTGTGTGGGTCTTCTCACAGGCTGGGAGAGGGGCGGGGAATATAATTTGCTGTGTTTCCCAAGATTCTTTGGTTATAGAAGCCCGTTTTCCACAGAACACATGAATAGTCTACCGACCTCAGGCAACGAGCACACAATTTGCGGAACACTCTACAGCAAGCATGGCTAACACGGGCCAAATAAACAAGGTATGTGGCCCACGGGCTGCAAGTTTGCCATGCTTGCTCTACAGTATCTCCGGCAAATAGTCACCCAACTGAAATTGCTTTAGCTCTCTTCACACTGTAGCTCATTCACTCCTGGGTCCAAAGACACCTTAAAGGTCACAATGTCACCGTCGCCATCACTGACACCAACTAATGTTTATTGGCAACTGAACTCTGATCTGGGTGCTGGGAGCAGACTCAGTCTTGCTGACAAAGAACGCTGAGGGGTACTGGCTAAGCCATAGAGTGAATGAAACCTGTTGGTCTTCTCCGCCAGTGTGGCTCAGTAGTTGAGCATCGACCCATGAACCAAGAGGTCACCTGTTTGATTCCCAGTCAGGATTCCGTGTCTGGGTTGTGGGCTCCATCCCTAATGGGCATGCAGGAGGCAGCCGATTGATGTTTCTTAGCAATGTTTCTATCTTTCTGTCTCTCTCCCTTCTTCTCTCTCTAAACAGTGCAGGGGCAAAACAAAAGGTACAAGCTCAGTGAAAGAGGTTGCCTCAAAAGCTCTTTTTAATGGGAAAATTTACTGTACGGCGATGGCTGCCATAATAACCAGGGGGAGGCTGTAGTCTGTGGACTGACATACTTGAATGGGAGGCAGAAATAAAATGAGATAACTTGGGGGAAAGCAAGGTAGAATGTCATAGAAGTCACGGGAAGCGTGAGTTCAAGGAATCAACATACGTTTGCAAAGTTCAGTGGAATGTAAATCACAGAGACGAGAAACACTTTGCCATAGAAATACCAACCTCACAGCTTCATTTCGCTAATTGAGCATGTGAGTTTGAGGCAGGGCATTTGACTTGGATGCCTTTTTCTCCAGTGAATTGGGGATAAAATATCTTTCCAGAAATTGAGTTTCAATCAGGTATTAATGTTTTGGAGTGAATTTCAAAGCCCTGCCTATGTAAAATGCAATTGAAGGAAGACTGTTGAAAAGATTTGGGGTTGATATCGTGGGGAGGGAGAGTCAAGGGG